AAGCTATAGAACATACGAGTCTGCTATCCATTTAGCCAAACTAGCAACTCTTTCTGCTGCTGGCCAGTGTATCAATAAAATATAACGTTAAGCAACGGCAAGTTATTGGCGAAAGTGTAGCAGAAAATTTTTGCTGACTGCTGCCAGGAGCAGCAGAGACTCCAAGCCAAAATCGAACGGATCTCGGCCACCCGTTCAATGCCTTTGGCTTAAGCGCCGCACTTCAGTTAACTTTCCTACTTTTTTTTGGGTGAGGGGGCTGGGCAGGGTTTACGTATTCTCCAGTGTTTTGCTTTTGGTCAAGTATGATTGGAATTTTATATGGAGCAGGTTTCGAAGGACCTCGACAACGACGACGACGACGTCCAAATGGCCAACACGTAGTCAGCAGGAGGCGAGGCAACAGGCAGAGCAGCTCAAGTGTTTGACTTTTAGTTGGTTGGGTTTCTCGACTCCGAATCCGAGGGCTGCTTAAAAGCATTTTGCAGAGCATAGCAAATTGTTACTTGGTCAATGCTCGTATTATTATTAATTTATGTTTGGCGTAGTTTCGATCAAATCAATAAACTAGTCACGTTTTGTTTCTCTCTTTCTCTCTCTGTCTCTCTCTCTCTCTCGACCAGCATCTAGCCGGAAACAATGCCAGAAGCGGAAGAGCGCATCTACTTATGCCACACAAACAAAAGACGATTCGCAATTTGTTGCGAGCAGCAGGCGAAAAGAATACTTAATTTATGTGAGCTTATCAAAATGGCGCTAATTGAAAATTAGCCTGTTATCATGCAATTATCTATAGACTCATGCCCAAACCAATGCCAATGCCCATTCCCATTCCCTGCAGCCATTTCGACCAAGTGTGTGTGTGTGTGTGTGTGGTGAAATTAAATTTCCACATCTGATAGATAAGCGGCCAAATGAAGCTCGCTATTCACTGGCGGAAGCACGAACTTGGCACCAGCTACTTTGTATGGGATATAAACGAGTATTTTGATTTGTGCGCCATCAGATTCATAGATAAACCTTGAACAAATTAAGACAAAGGGGGGGAGAGGGAGTGGGAACCACATTGAGCGCATGACTCATGCCCGAGCATGGGGGAGAACGAAGCGTTAAGTTAATAGACCATGGTACGTAAAATTTATGGCCAAATAACCGCAGTCTTTAGCCAAAGCTGTGGACGGAGTAGCTCTATGCGTGAATTGGTTGACAATACGGGTATGTAAATGCCAAAAAGGGGTTGCCATTCGCAGAGCCAGGCCAAGGATTTGGGGCGCAAAGTGCAATGCAAAGAAAATTGAAAAACAAACATGCAGAAGAAGAAGAGGAAGCTAAAAACTTCCAAACTAAATAAAAGTGCCGAAATGTGTGGAAGTTAGTTTCTTCTTAAGTTGCCTAATCGAAAACTAGATCGAATCATATTCTGTTATGAAATTCAACTGCAATGCAGTCGAAATTGTGAAGCAATAAAAACTAATCAAATAAATAAATAAATGAACAGCAAAAACAGTGCACATGCCGAGAGTGGGAAAAAAATGAATAGCAATTGCGAAATAAATGCCACAAACAATTGACAATAAACTACAGGGGAGACACGCACACACACACGCACAACTACATCCATATGCTGACATATATGTACACAGTAGCTAACATGCGTCAGAGTGATATAAACAAAATTAAGAGAAACAAGCAGCAGCAGCAGCGTCACAAAAAAAAAGCTAGGAGAAGAGAAAGCATCAGAGCAAATAATAAATAAACTACAGTTCATGTCATGTCAGCAGAGCCAAAGGACCAAACAAACTGCCAAAAAAGCAAATAGGCAACATGGAAGAACGCTGCAGTCGGGCGTTACTGACCATTGAATACTTGTGCATAGCTTAAAAATAATATGTAATGCTTATCTGCTAACAAAACAGATATATATAAGTATGAATAAATTATATTTGTAATAGAGCTGTATACCAGACTTCAGTTCCACTCGAAAATCCCTTACTCTGTGCATTGCATAAAACCAATATACTCCTTTTCAACACTTGAGCGAGTATAAAAATGAAATTCGAAGAAAAGCGCCACACAAGAGAAAAGAAAAGCAACGCAAGGAAAGAAAAAACTACGTCGAGTTATAAAGATGCGTGTAGTTAAATTAATGAGTTCTTTAAGTTGGGTAATTTGTACAGGCCGAGAGTAATTGAAATGGGCGATATGTAGAATATATTCAGTCACATTCAGGCAAGGCCTGGAGTTAAATTAAGAACGACATGGACATGTGTTCTATCTATGAGAAAAGAAATGTTATAGAATTTATAGGGCCAGCAAAGAGCAAAGCTGTTTATCGAGTTGGTTTTTATCTAGGCATTTATTGTAGATTTTGTAGCCAAGCAAAATTTATTTAATATACATTATTTCTAGATTATTTCCTTTTCCAACACTGTCTTTTCAGCATTTCAATTCCATGTTTAATCAACGTATAGAATATTCTTACTTTCCTCTCTCATAGACGACAATATCTGAATATATTAAAAATTCCTCCAGCTATGCAGCACAGGTATATTTTTTCAGCTACCCAACACTGGTTATTGTAGATTTCAAACGAAAGTCTAAGCGATATGGCATTTTCATAACTATCTCTATTTGCTCTATTTGCTCCCGGTGAAAGAGATGCTCCCTTTTTGACTCCAATAAACCGAATGGCCTGCGGGCCGCGTTTCATCAAACTCAAAAAAGTCAAAGAATCGCCAGGAGGATGGGCCACAGCTGCCGTTTGATTTGGATGGCTTTGGCACGTGCAGCGTGCACGGCAATGGGAGGGGAACTGCGAGCGGGTTCCAGGCAATCGCATATACGCGATTTATATGGAAGCCCAGTGCTCTGTTATTGCAATATTGGTAAAAGCCGGCGATGATGACACGACTTCGGCGCGAGCAACGCAAGCGGCTTCAACTCAATTATCAAACTTTGGATGCCAACGCCAGTTAGTTCTACCACCGACCGGCTGGCCGGCTGGCCGTCTGACTGACGCCTCGTTTCAGTTCAGCAATTCACTCATCCAGGCAGCCTCCGGTACTCACACGTGCAGGCATATTTTTCGAATAAACAAGCACCGTGCCAGGAGTCGGTGAATGCGTCCATGTCGCGGAGTGTCAGGGAGTGCGAAGGAGAGATGGTAGCTCGGGCGTTGGCACAAACGGCAAACGGAAATGGATTTTTGATTGAGTGCACAATAAAATGTGAAATGCATTTTACAGCTGAAAAACAAGCAACAGACATAACATGGAACGAAACTGAAGTTTAGCCATATACGAGTACAGCCAATACTTATTCATATATCAACAAATATATACATATATATACATTTTATATCTTTCTTCTTTTTTTGTTTTTGGCTCTGTCCGAAATTGTTGCAATTGAAATGAAACTGGATGTGCGGCATTATTGCAAATTGAGCGGCGAACCAAAGCGTTTGCCCTTTTATGTGCCCCAACCGAGCCGAGCTCCGGCATGCCCGCCACGCCCCCAATACAATTTTAATTTGCGCACAAAGTTGCGATTTATTTGCTTTGGCTTCCATATTGATACCGCCTTCATGAAAGTCAATTTATTTCATTATAAAGTGCATAGGTTTTCGGATCTCTCTCGCACTCTCTCTCTCTCTCTCTCTCTCTCTCTCTTGTTTTATTGTCTTCTTCTCTCTCTCCCACACACCAATCTATCTTTCCCTCTCTCTTCTCTTTATGGTGCATATTTGGCCAAATTTATTGGCCTCATGGCTAACAAATTGCGAACACAATGTCGAAAAATTATTGCCTCGACGTCGTCAACGTCATCCGTGCAATAAAAATAAAAGATGCACACCCGGAAACATATTCAACTGCCTATTTTAATACTCTTTAAATATTCATGGTTTACCAATGCAATAAGATCATTTTAATGTCTTGTACTTGAGCGTAAAATACTTATTTCCATCAACACATGTTGTAAAGTAAATGAATTGGAGCTCAGTGCAGCAATCATACAATTCGAAATTGCCAATATCATATTTAAAGCGTATATTTTATGCCTTTTTAATAGGACATATATAAGCTTAAAAATCTTGAATTCAAACCGTTAATTTGAAGCGTCGCCTGAGAGAAATAAATAGAGCGAGTCAGCTTAATGTTTGTTGTTTAAGTCATTTCCTGCCTTGTCCGAATGTGCTCAATAGCCATCTCGCTCTCACTCAGCAACGCCCGGCAGCAAGCTCAGCGACAGTCATGTGTCTATCTTTCTATCTCTCTCTGTCACTCACAGGCATATACATATATGCATGGCGTGTAGCTAGGACGCAAACTCACTCGGATAATATGTGTGCAAGCTCTCACACTAACACTACTGCAACAGTGGGAGCCAATCAACGGCCATCAGCACTGTTAAAAGACTCTCTGCCTCAATCGTGGCCAATCATGAATTAGGAAACTAAGAGAGCAACTCTGGCTTTAATTTCACAGCATGAAGTCGAATGATATTTGTCAGATGACATACATATATACAATTTTCAATATATAATAACTAATATATATAATATATAAATAATTAGCAATTTATATAATTTCAAATAACTTTGAATAGTCCAAGCTGAGCTCAACATAAATCAAAAGTCAGCAACCGCTCCGTAGGGTATTGAGAGAGTCTCGCATGCACATATATAGCTATTTCTTAAGATATTGGTTCTGTTTAGCATAAAAGTAAGTCAATAGCTGATGAGGAGCAGCAGAGCCAGCAGAGAGTGGGGAATGCTTTTGGCATTCAGTCAGTCACATGCACAAACGTTGCCAATTTCGATGTATGTGTGTATGTATGTATTTGCCCCTGGCCAAATTGTGTTGCCAAGTTCTTTGGCTGAGGACATGCGTCTGCCATAGCTATCGATGACTGGGATGGAGACGAAGACGGGCGCGGGAGCTTGGGCTGGCAAAATTTTGGTCTAGACGTTGTCTAATGACAAACGCAAACCACAAAAGACGATGGCTGAAGATGTTATGCAAGTCAGTCAGAGCCAAGTCAAATGGAAATGCCCTGACTGCTGCCCTCCGCCCTTCGTCCTTCGCTCCTTGCTCTGCCGGCTGTCATGGCCTTCGTCTTGGCCTCTGTGCTGGCCTCTGTGCTGGCGGTGGAATGCAAAATAAATAAAATCAGCTTTAAATAAAACTCATCGATGACTCTGGCTGTCGCTCTGGCTAATTCCTATTGACAAAGGCAACGAGCACATTTTCCAGCTGCGCATCCAGGCGCATCCAGTTTGAATGGCCAAGCACAAGAGATGATGATTCCCAATTCCGAATTCATAAAATGCATGCAAAATGAACAAATCAAATGGCTGAATAGACCAAAATGAAATTGGCGCATCATCATTATTTATGCGAACTGCTCTCCCACCTAAAGAAGAAGAAGACAAAATAAAATAATAATAAAATAAAATACAAACAATATGACGCAGCTTTTTAGTTTGAAGACTTTTAAAGCGATATTTTATTTTTTATAATTTCATTTGCATAGCAGAGAAAAGAGGGCCATTGCGATTGGACCATTTAATATGCGAATGAGCCAAATAAAGAGAACTTCCATAAGAATCGCATCGAGTGAAATTTCTTGCTTATTTCTCGCTATAAAATAGAAATGTTTGCCCAAAAGCAGTTTTAGTATTATTTTCGAAACGAGCATGAAGCGGTCTATCAATTTGCTGTGTGGAGGTGCGTTGAATAATATTTTAAGAAATTTTTTTCTTCTTGTTCCAAGTTAAGATAGAAGAAACTAGTGAAGCGTATAATTAAATAAGAGAATTATCCATTTATAAATTTATTTTAACTAGTGTTTTGTGAGTACTAAAGGCAACTGACAAAATAAGCTTTGATAAATAATAATAAAGAATGAAGAAGTAGTTCATTTAAAAACTTTAAATGATCTAAAAATATGACAGATTGGGAATAATATAAAATATATGCAAACTATAAATACAATTGAGTTATTTTGCATAGCCTCTCGCTTCTGAAGCAATTGTAAATGATGTATAAAAGCTTTGAGATAGATGTTCATTGGTTATTTATGATAATTTGTGAAAATACTTCCATATTCGCCATTCGCGTCGCTAAACCTACTAGAAACTTCCCAAAGAGACAAGGATTTTACATTCAATACTCAGAAACCGAAATGGGGACAAGGCCAGCTTGGCCGCAACAATTCCTAAATGTCTTTACCCGAACCATCCACATATTCTGGGAATTATGTGTCAGAGTGTTTTTCGCGAAAACCCAAAACCCAAAACCCAAACGAAAAACGCCACAGAACCCAAAAGACGCGACATGAACAGATTTCCGAGTTCGGCGCTTAGTTGGTAGCCGTAATTGAGGCTTAGGACTGGACACAGCCGGCGGCGTTTGTGTTTGGGTCCCAGTCATAAAGCCATAAATGACCCATGGAAATACCCAGACAGTCGTTGCGGAAAATATTCCGAATGAAAAGCCTGGAAACGTTCTTTACGATGCCAACACGCGCCCGAGCCCATGCGCTAATGAGATGAGCTACCTGCCCAGCGGCTACCTGCTCGATATATAAGGCCAATGTGTGCAAATCCTGGCACTAAACGCGCAAGGAACAGCTAACTGTCAACAGCGAAAGATGAGCAGCCACAGCACGGAACAGAGAACGGAGAAGAAGCGACGCAGGCAGCTCAAGAAGCACAATTCCAAGGCCAAGCAGCAGCAGGATAAGCCCAAGAAGCACACGAAGAAGCGACTCAAGATGTCGCCGGGCAACATTAGCTTTGACTATAGGCTCTTCCTCTACCGCCAGGAGCTGCGCCGCTCCAGCGCGAACCAATCCTACCTGCGGCTGTCCCGCGCAAAAATCATGCTCACCGCCGAGCTGATAGCCAAGAATATGTGCAGCTACAACAAAATGTGCAGCGTCGACGATCTCAAGATGCTCAGCCGCGAGGTGCAGTTCAAGAAGCGGCTCTGCAGCCAGGTGGAGCGTCTCGAACAGTTCCAGGAACTCGGACTCACCGACGTCGTGCTCAATGGCAAGCGAACGGCGCTCTAGACTCGCAGCGGCTGCGGCTTTAGGCTAGGGCTGGGCATTAGCTTAAGTTACTTTTAGGCATTTTAGATTGTAATATTTTATCAAATAAAATATGGCATTTATATCGATGGGCGTCTTCAATACCCTTTCAGTCCTCTCAGCTCTGCTGCTCTGCTCTGCCCATGATGCAGTCCATCCAAACGACACTGCCGAGGCGCTCAAGCTCAGCTCGTTGCTGGAGGCGACGCGCGCCAGCACCACCACGGAGAAGGCTCAGAGAAGCACCACGGAAAAGCCCCACAGCAGCAGCACAGCTAAGACCAAGATCTATTTGGCCACCAGCGAGGAGGACCATGACTCAAACTTTCATAGTAATCGGCTGCCTGCGCTGACAGAGGACGAAACGAATGGCTTGAGCCATGACGCCAATCCGCTGCACTTCCTCAAGCAGCTGGCCGGCCCAGAGACCGAGACAAGTGCAGCACAGGTGGAGTTGAGCAGGCCACACGAAGAGCCAAGCAAGCCACAGTTGGGGACGAACAAAGCGCAGGTAATTAGAAATGTTGATCTATTTATTTATCCATTGCCTTCTCCTGCTGTGCTCAAGTAATCTTTACAAATTTCTTCATTTTCCCTTCCCTTTCAATGCAGAGCACCAAGTCAGAGTCCCTTGCCGGCTCACCCATCTACATCACCATACCCATCTATATCAATACGTCTGGCCAAAGGCCGCTGAGCTTGCTCATTGGCGATCAGGAGCTGCCGCTGCAGCGTCGCACGGCGGACCACAAGAAGATTTCATCCACCAAGTCGCCCAACTCGTATTTCAATCGGCTGCTGGAGCAAGTTGAGCCGCCCAAAAAGCGCACGACCAATCGACATCGCAGTCAAAGCCGCAGCAAGATTCAGGCGCTCATGGATTCGGACTTAAAGGGGCAATGAAGATTCTCCTTTCCTTACTCTGTGAAACACGTTTTGTGTATTTGCAACGCTTATGGCTAACAATAAATAGTTAAAATAAATAGTTGAGGTATTCGAGTGGGATTAGGGGGGGATTAGTAACTAGACTGCATTGCTGGCAGCAGCTGGCTCCTCTGGCTGGACGACATTTTCCACCTCAGCAGGAGCTGGAGCAGCCGACTCGTTTGGCTTTTCGGGCTGGGACTCGGCTGGTGTCTCGGCTGCCTCGGCTGTCTCGGGTTTTTTGTCCTCCTCCGTCGTGGCAACTGTTGCTGCGGCAGCTGCTGCGGGCGTCTCCTCCTCGTCGTCATCGGCGGCGTCAATCACCTGCTCGATGGTTTGCTGGATGAAGTGCTCAAACAGCTGGAAGTACTGCAGGGCATTGTTGGCCACCTGCTCGGTGGGCAGGCCCGTGGTGACCTTCTTGAGGGCGTCACGTATGAGGACGAGCACGGGCTTGCGCGTCGTTGTCTGTGAGCTTGTGGTTGGAATTGTGGTGGCGCTCTCAGCGTTTGGCACCACAGCAGCAGCGGCCTCCGCGGCCTCTGTGACTTCAGCGGGTGCAGCGGCTTCAGCTGGCGCGGCAGTGGGAGCGGGAGCGGGAGCAGGAGCAGGAACCTTGGCAGCATCAGCCGTTTCCTTGGCTGGCTCAACGGCATCGCGACGTCGGCGTCGAATGAACGCTTCATCATTATCATCATCATCGTCATCATCGTCGTTCTCCTGCTTTGGCACCTCATCCTCATCATCATCATCATCATCGTCGTCGTCGTCGTCCTCATCCTTCTCATCGCTATCCGCGCTAGAGCTCGGCGCCTTCTCCGCCTTATTTACAGGCGCCAAATCAGGTTTCACAACATCGCTCTCCAGTCGCGCGGGTGCGGAATTCACAGCAATGACCAAGATGACCAGAGCAGCTGTGTGGGTGTGGGGATAATGCAAATCTGTATATTAAAGCTGTTATTCTAGTGCTGCTACCTGCTACACTTACCCAGTGTCATGTAAATGTGCTTAACCATATTTGCTGCTTGTTTTTTATACCCTGTTTTTTTTTCGTTTCGGCTAATCCTGATGTGGCGCGGTACGGGAACGGGCACGGGGCGCAGTTGACTTTTGCAGTTTTGCGGTCTTTATGAGCGAATCCAGCGCTTTGCTTTCGCTTTTTATAGCCATGCGACGGCTGCGGTTTTGTCTCTAAAATGAAAGTATGCATAAGGCCAGGCCTCGGCCGGACAGGCTGGCGCTGGCGCTGGCGCTGGCTTTGGCGAGCGGGCACACGCTCTTTTTTTCTGGGGGGGAGTCTTTGGTCTCTGGTCTCCGGTCTGAGAGGCAGACCGACGCTGTTACTGCAGCCAGCTGGCAGCGCTCTTTCTTTCTTCTTTTATTTTGTTGTGCTTTATTTTGTTGTTGTTTGGCTCGTTTTTTTTTACTTTTTTTATTTACTCGCTTTTTTTTCTTCCTCCTCTACGCAACACAAAAGAAACCGAAATCATTTATTCAAAACTCGGTTTCTGGTCACTTCTTTCATAAATTTGTTGATTTATGCTCAAAACTTTTGGCCATCTCTCGTCTATTTGGCTTTAGCATTAACAGCCATTTGCCAGTTGCGGGCGTTACGAGGCAAACTTATTGTTGCTATTGCTGCTATTGTTGTTGTTGTTGCTGTTATGGGCATATGCAAATATGTATGTTTACAATTTAAAAGAGTTTGCTTGTTGCTGTACAACAACAACAACAACAACAACAACAGCAACAACAAAAGCATGACGCACCTAATTGACTGATTAAATTTCCTTTCGACTATCAGTCAATGCTCAGTCTCAGCTTCTACCCCCTTTCTCTGTCTCTGTGTCTAATTATGCAATAATTAAGTTCATTTTGAATCTCCCACACCAGCGCATTTCGAACTTTCTAATGCATTTTCAAAACTTTTCCATAGAGATCTTAATTTGAAACTCAAATGCATCTGATAACAATGAAAGCAATCAGCTCTGAATCACGCTAAAATGGAGAAAGCAATTGATCAACGAAATCTGCCTTGCAGATTTTTTGTTGTTATTGATTATCGATTATTCAAATTTCATAAAGCTATATGCATATATAATTTTTAGAGTTAATTAATGACGCATTTTTACCATTAACATTATTTAAAATACATTAATAAATTAAAAGTTGGTAATTTAAATCAACTAAATCATTTCTCTCAATGTAAATTTTCTTTTTTTCTACGAATTTTTTTGATAATATATTTAAATATTGTGTGCATAAATTAAATTTTTGCCTTGTATTTATTTATACTTTTTTAAATCTCCCATAATGAAATGCTATACTTCTATTTATAAAAATATAAACATATTTTTTATAATTTTCTAATTCTATAAAAATATAAAAATATTTTTTATAATTTTCTATATTTATAAAAATATAAAAATATTTTTTATAATTTTCTATATTTATAAAAATATTTTGTATAATTTTCTAAATTACTTTTTAGACTTTATATTTATTATTTATTTAATGCATAATTTTAATTTATATTTATACTTATGAATTTCATTTCATTTATTAATATATATTATTCTAATTTATCGTACTACACCGCACATCACAAATTTCTTCTAGAAAAGGTTTCACCATAACTCACAACTGGGTCAAAAATCAGAGATTCAGCGATACGAATTTAGCTTTTGTTTTGTTTGCTTACACTAATTATCCACATAATCATATAAAGTGCCCAGAAATTGGATTCTGAGCGCCGACTCGACTCAGTGCAACAATTACAGTTTGTTTTCCTTCTATTTTATTTAGATTCTGATAACAAGGGAACAGCATGATTGGATGTTAATTTGAAGTAAATAGTCAGTTCAGATACTTGAGCGCACGCTGAGCTCCTAAGGCGAAAAGAAAAGAATTGTGTGCTGGCCGTAAAACAAGATCAGTAAACCTTTCGGATTGACCCAATTCCGGAACCGGCTTTCGATGTTGATGTCGCTGCTGTGCGCTCCGAACGGGTGGGCGGGGAGCAGGCGGCCCGGCCCGGCATGGACTGGACTGGTGCTGGCCTGGTGCTGGCAGTTAGGTGATAAACAGATAACCAGTTCGTGGCCAACAGCATTCTAGATGCTCGCAAGCGAAGAAAGAAGCCACAAAAGGGTATGCACGGGCGTGCGCTGATAAATGGGGACCACATGAGTTTGCATAAAAAAATTTCACCAAAATCCCAACTCTGCGTACTTTCGATGCGGACAAACAGAAACAGAAGAAAATGTAGCCGCAGCTTCTTTTACTCTGTTGTAGATTACCAAGAAAACCGGTAAAGGAGAAGAAGAGAAAAGAACTCCCCGCTCAGCTGAGCACGGGCTGGCCAGAGCGAAGATACTTAAGAGGCCACACGGCCCAAGAAGCGATCAGTGATAGTCAAAGCGAGCCAGCGTCAAGATCGTTCCAGCAACACATACACACACGCACACACACACCTACAGATAAATAAAGATGAGACCATACCAGGCTGCCTGCATCGTAGGTAAGCAGTGACGACATTGCGACATTTCCAGGTAGTTCCAGGTTTCAGTCTCGATTTTTCCATTGCAGTGGCCGCTCTGCTGGTGCTAGCACCTGCCGGCTCTGAGGCCAGGCGTCGCAAGCACAAGGGCGACGACCATCACGATTCACACAAGACCAAGTCGAAGGTAAAGTGGTCCAGCTCATCGGACTTGAGTGCGGCCAAGAGCCAGGTGTCCACCGAGGAGCACTCGTACTATGTGAAGCGCACCTACGCGCCCATAATGGGCGTCGATGGCAAGCGTAGGAGTCCACCCTACCTGGCCATACCCATCGCCTGGTTCGCCTGTGACCCGGCCAAGTCGGGCTGCCAGGTGGCCGGCAATTCCGGAGCCATCAACAGCGCGGCCAACGCCCTCAGCGAGGGCTATCTGTGCGACGACGACTGCGTGGAGCCCTACGAGCCCATCTGCGGGCGCACGCCCAACGAGGTGGCCGTCTTCTACAACAAGTGCAAGCTGAACGTGGCCAAGTGCCGCACGCATGGCCTGTGGACCGATCTGCCGTACGATCAGTGCCAGCAAACGTATCCCAAGGAAACGGCCTACACCGACAAGAAGTTCAGATGCTCGCCCTACTTCCGTGACAACTTCACAGCTGCAGCAGCTGCTGTTGAGGCTGAGGCCAGCCAGGCGATGAACGACGGCAACGACAGCAAGGAGAGCAAGGAGAACAAGGACAACAAAGACAGCAAGGACAGCAAGGAGAGCAACGAAAGCAGCGAGGAACAAAAGAAACAGGATAAGAAGCAGAATAAGAACAAGGCGGAGAAAGTAGAGCTCATCAAGCTGCCCCTGCAAGTGGCCGCAGATCCCGTTCCCGTTCCCGTTCCTCAGCCAGCGGCCGCACCTGTGCCCAAGCCCCAGGAAGCCATTGCTATGCCTCCAATGCCCGTGAAAGACGTTGTGGCCCAAGCTCAACAAGCCGTCAAGCCACAAGCAGCTGCTGCTGCCCCTGCAGTCCCTCAAGTGGCCAGCTCTATGCCCGCAGCCGGCCCTGTTCCCGCCGCGGAACAGGTTCCAGTAGAGGTCAAGAAACCAGCCACGCCTGCAGAGCCAATCAAGGAGCAGCTCAAGCTCAAGTCTGAGAAGGATAAATTAAAATATGTGGTCTCTTAAGAAAATACTACTTCAAATTAAAATCCTAATTAATTTATTCTAGTATTAAATACAAACATTATTATAAATAAAAAACAAAATAAATCTGAAAAAAAAAATGATTCTAAAAAAAAAAAAAAAAAAAAAAATATTACAAAGAAGTAAAATGATAATCACAATAATAAAAACATTTTTTTTAATATGGTTTATTTATTATTAGCCTGTAAAATACGAGGATGATGATCTAAGTTGAAATTATTTCGTTGTAGTATTTAATACAAAAACTATTAAGACTAATGATGAAATAAAAATATATTTTAAATAAAATAAACATATATATATATTTTTTTTTATATATTTACAAAATAACAAATAATTTTTATAGATTTTGTTTTCATTATACATTTTAATTAAGCCTTTATTTAAAAGGATGATTTAAAACTGGGGCTTTCAGGACTTTCCTTTCAAATTATAATAATGAAAAAATTAAACAAAAAATACAGAAAACAAATATTTAAATATTCTGTAGAGTCTAATATAATTGCAATTGCAAGTAAATAATATCAGCCTCATATGAGCTCTTCTAAATTAGCGAATCAAAATGAAGAGCATAGAACCAGCTGAATATACTTTAACTATTTTATTCATATTCTTAATCAAGTATTTATTTGATCAAATTTAAGAACAATCAGAATGTATGTAAGCTTGATTTATATTTATGTTCTAGATTTTTAAGAGTTGTACTGTTTTCCTAATATAAATATTTAAATTTATAAAAATCTATGAAATAATATAACGAATTTTAATATATCAAGCTCAATTTTTATATATATTTATAATTTATATATATTTACATATATACATATTTTTCTGCTTCTAAAGATGCATTCAAAACACAAAAGTAAACTCTTAAATATATATATTTTTTAACTTTTATATTCGATTCAAATACATTTGATTTTCTTTTTTTTTTCAAATTATGAGCAAACATTTATAAAATCCATTGGTTCATCTAAATAATTAAGTAGAAGAAAACTTTTTTTATATTTTCCCAACGCAATAAAAGTGAGCCGTAAGAAAGCTTTTATCATCTTTTTACTGATGTGATGTGGGCGGGTTAACCACGTAGTCCCTTGGGAGCCACAGTGGAATAAAATGCATTTGGGCGCATCTACATCTGCACCTGCATCTGCAAAGGTGTTCAGTTCATTGAACTGTCAAACGAGTTCTATGAAAGTTCTAAGCGGGTTGATTGACAGTTAAAAAGATATCAGATCAGAAAAACTCTTAACATCGGGCAGGTCGACCTATAAAAGATCCGAGAAATGCACCCACTGCACACAGTAGCCCAGCGACTGCAATGGCAAACGGAACTGATAGACTCAAAGCCTTAAAGCTGCTGCTAATCCTTAGTGGAGGTGAGTGAAGTCCAGAACCAGAAGAAAAGGCACTCAGCTCTTTCCTCTCTCAGTGCTCCTCGGCAGTGATGGCGCTCCCACTGATGCCGAAAGCCATGCGGCGACAGAGCAGCCAATCGTGGAGTCACGTTCCCAGAAACAGGATCACGACATTTTAGAGCTCGAGGAGGACTTGGATGGACGCAGCGCCTACGTCAACAATCAGTTTGTGCCCAGCGATCCAGTTGAATTGTTGGACGACGAGCAGAATACGCCGCTCTACGAGATACTGCAGAAGCAAATGGAGCAAGTGCTGGCATCAAGTGGACCCGACGTGCCCATCTATGAGGATGACAAGACGAAGCGCCAGCGCGTTCAGCCGCCGCCCAACAAGCCGATCTTCACCAGCAGCAATGCAGCCGATGCGGATGATGACTACATGGACGAGATCGCGCCAGAGCCGGAGGAGAGCCAAGGCAATGCAGAGAAACCAGATGCTGCATCAGCAGCTGTCGAGGAGCTGCCCGATCAGTCAGGCTATGAGCCGCCGCTGCTCCCCAGCTCCACGCAGCCGCCGAGCAGCACCACCACCGCACGTATTCGTCCACAACGCCGACGCACCACCACACCGACGCCACGAACAACTCGAGCCAGGGCAAGCACACACACAAAATTGACCACCTCGGCGCCAGTCAATCATACAGAGCTGCTGGCAACGACGACAACCCCAGCGCCAGTTGGATCCAACAACAGGCCGCGGCCGCAGCCGAAGCCCGGCATCAGTCCGAGCAACATGGTGCCACACGATCCACACATCTACCAGCACAAGCGCCGCATCATCTTCAAGACGATCTCGACTGGGTCCCAGTTCGTCAACTCGCCCATTGGCGATCTCATGATCAAGTTCTCCATAGGCTTTGCCAAGCCAGCATCAAGCATGGGCGTGGCTCAGCCTTCGAGCGAGGCACTGCGTGCGCTCTCCCAGAACCTGATGCGCAGCATCGAGATGCAGAAGCTAAGGAGAATCAATAAAACTCAAAGGCATTAATAAACGTTTCTATGTTAGTTACAGCATCAACAAAACCATTGAAATATTTTCTGCAGAAGTTAACAATGTCAGTGGGCTAGCTCACAGTTGGTAGTTGAGAATGAAAATAGCACAAAGGAGGATACAAGTCATTTAAGGTAGTTAAACTACGATAATGTGAAGCATATAAAACGTTGCTTTAGAATTTAGAGTTCGATTTTAGTTTTAGTTTGTTAACTTTGAGTCAGGTATGTTTTGAAATGTTTTGCATCTGTGATACGCTTGAAGCTGTTATGCCTAGATACATAAATATAAAAATTACTTTAGGCTGTCTGATATGTTCGATGATTCGATGAGCCCAAGGCAGACTATCTCTATCAGCCTTGGCCTCTTACAAACATGAAGAAATTATGGAACATTTTCTTCTCAGTTACTCCCTCGAGCGACCTTATTTCTCTTAAGTATAACCGTCACAATGTTGCCCTAGTCGTTGTGTGTTCGAGTCTATCGGTTGCATTACATATATATAAAAAAGTCAGCTAGTTCGCTTAGAGCTAGCTAGCAGTACGAAAATAGGAATCCGTTGTGAGCGAGAGCTGCGCTGGGAGAGCTCAGCGCACGGGCCAGAATTTGAGGGCCAGCAAGGGCATCGTGACGCCAATGACAATCGTGGAGATGAGATTCACGCTGTGATTGTCGAGTATGCGTAGGCCGCTCACGTGACGAACGCCCTTGCCGGGCGCATCCACAATCTTGCCCTTCTCATTGATGCCAGAGAACTGCAGCAGTCCGCCGAGCACAGAGTCCAGCAGCGAGCCACAGAGGCCGGCGATGCCGCCGAACAGGATGATGGGCCACTGCGGTGGGCTGACCAACAGCATTTTGGCCTCCACGGTGTAGCGCACTGTGACAAAGTAGGCGAAGCCAACGAGCAAGCCGCCCAGCAGGCTGACCACGACGCCGACAAGCGAGATGCCTCCATTGGTGCCACGTGGCACACGACGCCAGCTGATGATTGAGATGGGGTCGCGTGTGGAGAGCACGCTGCCCAGTTCGCTGCTCCAGGTGTCGCCGTTGCAGCAGGCGAATGAGCTCATGACGGCGATGCTTAGCCAGCTGGAGCGATATTCCTTGGCGAAATCAATGGCCCGCTCACCGCTGCCGCAGTCGATCAGATAGAGCAACGCCAGCTGTGTGGCCATGCCGCCGTTGCATAGGACCTGCACCCAATTGCGTTGTCCTTCGCCCTCCTTGAAGTCGCCCTCGAATCGGCGTTTTAGCTGCGCCCGAAACTTGGTCGCACGCGACGAGCTGAAGAAGAACACCACCAGGCTGGCAAAGAACGGATGACTGGCTATGGACAGAGTGAAGGCGACCACCACGCCCAGTGCGGCGCCAGATTTGCTCACGGAGCGTCGCCGCAGCGCAATAGTCATCAGGGCCAGCGGTGCCAGCGTCGAAAATAGCCATCGAGTCGGTGATATGACCAGTGGCTCTATTAATAAACCCAATTCAATTTTTGACTTCTCTTATCTGGAAATGCATTAATTCAATCTTTACCTTCATAATCATAGCTCCAGAATTTCGAGAATGCCACGTTGCCCAGCCACATGAATATGGAGATGGGCACTGAAAGGCCACAAAATATCAAAAGCATCCAATCGCCGTTGGCCATTTTGTTGAATTGAATATGTATTTTCTAAAATGTATACTTTCTTTTCAAACGTAAACAACAAACAGACCAGTTTGTTCGCAGTGTGGCCGAGCTGTGATATTCAAAAAAATACTAAAGCAAGTTGGTATTAAATGAGCATAGCACAGGGTGTATCAGAATTAAGCATGAATTTGAATTTGAGCGCGAAAAGGCGAAAATGATTTGCTTTTTATTTTATTGCGAGAGGTATAAATGTATGTGTAAATTTTAATAAATATTAATTAACGCCTTATTTAGTATATGCTAAAGTAAATAAGATACAAAAACATAATCAATTTTCATTGAAAGATGCTCTCAATAGATTTATTTTTGGATGCGTGCAAATTTATTTCAATGGGCCTAGGCAATTATTTATTAATGAAAAGTTTGCTTCTAGTTGATCTTATCAAACTAGGTTGTTTCGGCTCTCTGAGCGCGTTTCAATTAAAAATGTCGCCCTTGAAACAAACTCATCAAGCCTTTTCAATTTATGTACAGTTCAATACTTCGTCTACAGTTCAAAGAAATAAATAAATGTTTAACAATTTATATTAAAGTAGTTTTTTTTTCTTGACTTTGCTGGCAGATAAGCTTAGCATTGGTATAGTAGAGGTTTATTTATAGATATGACGAGGCTTTCAAGGAACCGAAGAGGTTATCAAGCGCAAATTGCTTCCGCTAAAACACATCGAAGACAATCCAAAACAAAGCGTAGAACGAAGAGATCGAAGAGTTGTGCTCGACAATTGCAACATAGTAGAGGGACCACATGCATATTTAATGAGCCGGCTTGGGATGGGGCAGGGGCACACACACACATACGCTGGATAATGGAAGTAAGATATACACAATTGAGTATCTTTATATGCTAATAAATGGCCGCACATTTGCCTAAAATGGGTCAAAAGTCTCCCCCATTGGCGACGATGTTGCAACGCAGACGCATTCAATGGGGCGCCCCGAAACGAAGTGATCGATTGACACGATCAAAGTGTTGATAAACATGGACTCAAATGAATGGCGACGATGCGATCCAGCGGTACGTACATACACATACCCATACATACATAGCCAGCTCTAAGTGCCTCGTCTCAGTCTGCTTGTGTATGTATGTATATGCTTAGACATACATATGTGCGATAAGGCAGAGCTCTATGTGTGAATCCTCAATAAATATTCATGCTGCTCGCATGCAAATGTATTTGAAATTGCTTGGCTTTCAATGAATTGAGCCACAGCTCGAGAACTTTACGTCTCCATGCTCCAGCAGCGTTACGTTATTCGCAATCCAGCAGTTGTCGCGTTCGGCTGCAGATCGGAACTTTCATTTGGATCCTAAACACGCAAGGCGAAGAAGTATGTGTGAACGAGTAAAGCAACAAGCTTGTGGAATACTTATATAACTCTTATCAAGGATATGTGCCAACAAGTGCTAAATACTGAGACAAGTGCATAAGACTTGAAATCGATAGATATTATCAGTGCAGTCAAAACTATGTCAAGGATAAGACTCAATCATAAAGCAAATAAAAACAACTATATTTTTGATGTGTAAAAATAAAAATATATTAGAATATAAATTCAAGTATACATAAATCCAAGAAGGAAATGTTTTATGAACTCATTTTTACATAAAAGTGGAAGTGTTTAATTGGATCTTCGGATAATATAGACATTTTTATAGATATATATTTATTTAATATAACAAAATATGACTTTAAAAAAATATGTTATGATTATAAAATAAAATAAATATGAGTATAAAGAAAAATAAAATAAAACAATCTGAAAATCCTAATAATAGCCTTAAAAAAATTATACAAATTTACAAAGTGAATTTCAAAATGTTTTAAAGGATAATTTTGCAATCAGAAAATGTTTAAAGTGAAATTATATTTTATTAATGTATTTCATAATATATCATAAAAAATAGTATCCAATCCAATCATAGGTGAAAACAAATATAATTTTTCAAAAATAAATTTATCCAAAATAATATTTCTATTAAATATACCTATAATGATTCAATAAATTTACTACAAGACTTTATTTAAATGTATATAAATTTGCCATCACATGTTATTACATCACAGCAGAAACTATAAATGAGTCCAAGAACAAATATAGTCGTATAATAATGAAAAAACATGATTTCAATTTTTTTATTTTATTATTTTTGGCATTTGTGTGCTGATTTGAATAAAGTGTCTTTGGTGATAACCCCTTGTGACAGATACTGAGAAGAGCAACGATCCGCACTTGAAGGAAAAACCGAGAACTAATAAAAACTTTAAATATAAATATATACATACATACATACATATGTATATGTACATATATGCAAAGCAGTAAATATGTTGATAATACGTTTCAATTTCAATTCACAGTTTTGCTGTCTGTCGGGCACTTCGAGCACGCGTTCCCATTGGATTCAAATTAGATTTATTGAAATGTTGCCCTTTCGTTGGGGCATGCTGCTTGGCGTGCTGCTGCTCATAGCATACACAAATGGAGCGGCTATTGTAAGTGTCAAAATTTGTTAATGAAACATGAATTAAGTGTGTGTGAGTGTCTGTAAGAGCGAGAGAGATGGTGTGGGCGTATATGAGTGAGAGCTACAGATAGAGAGAGGGAAAGTTGAGTAGTTCAATGCACATGAGCTCGGCCCAAATAAAATGAGATAAGAGCGAATCGTTGGTAGACTTGTGACCAAGGTCAGATTTAGTAACAAACTGAGCTTCGATTTTCAATTTAGATAAGCCTGACATTAGCATTGAACTTATTTGATTAATGTTAATTATTTGATTACAGGATCAATCATCTGTGGATGACGATGCGGAGCTGAATCCGCTGACTGAATTAGAGCGTACTAAGAGAAGCGGCAGAGGCTAGTGAGTAACTAAAATAAACGAATGCGAAATGTTACAGATCTGATATATCCGTTTATATTTGTCTAGTGTCCGAGGACAAACGCAGTCTCAGTACTTAAACTTCGGCAAGCCCGAGGAGGATGGCAAAGCTGAGGCGGAGGCCAATGAGAGTGGCTCGCGTTCAACTGTTTGTAAGTGGCGCACACTGGAAATTCGAACTCACTAAATAACATAATGCATCTCTTGTAGCCGGTACCCATGGCATGGGGCAAGCGCAGAGCCAGTTCTCTTCGGGAGATTGCAGTGACTGCTCCGGGTATTCCGGAGGCTCTGACCTCTATCCGAGTGGACCCAGCATCTCGGGCGGCCGCATCGGTAGACCCGATGCCATAATAAGTCTACCAGGTGAGTAACTACTTTGCATATCAAGATGATAAATAAATACATAATTGTTATATTTAAAATAGCTGGAGCTGGAGGACAGTCAGGAATCGGAGGTCAGCCTGGGTATGGTTCGCAACCAGGAGCATACAATCAATTTGGAATTGGTGGTGGTCAGCCGGGTAGCGGACCTTATGGAACAAGCGGACAGCCTGGAACCGGTGGCCGACCTGGGTTAGGTGGCAGTGGAAGTGGTCAGCCTGGAGCTGGTGGTGGACAACCCGGAATTGGTGGAGGACAACCGGGAATCGGTGGTGGTCAACCTGGATATGGAACTCAGACTGGTGCTGGTGGTCAGCCCGGAATAGGTGCTGGTCAGTCTGGAGTCGGAGGTGGACAGCCCGGACTAGGTGCTGGTCAACCCGGATTAGGTGCTGGTCAACCCGGATTAAGTGCTGGACAGCCCGGATTAAGTACTGGACAGCCTGGAATCGGTGGTGGACAGCCTGGAATCGGTGGTGGACAGCCCGGAATCGGTGGAGGACAACCAGGAATCGGTGGTGGTCAGCCTGGAATCGGAGGTGGACAGCCCGGAATTGGTGGAGGACAGCCAAGAATCGGTGGTGGTCAGCCTGGATTAGGTGCTGGTCAGCCTGGAGTCGGTGGTGGACAGCCCGGAATAGGCGGAGGTCAACCTGGAATCGGTGGTCAGCCCGGAATCGGTGGTGGTCAACCTGGAATTGGTGGTGGTCGACCTGGATACGGAACTCAGCCTGGATCTGGTGGTCAGCCCGGAATAGGTGCTGGTCAGCCTGGAGTCGGAGGCGGACAGCCAGGAATAGGTGGTGGACAGCCAGGTATAGGTGGTGGACAGCCTGGCGGTGGTCGACCTGGATACGGAACACAGCCAGGCGGTGGTGGTCAGCCCGGAATTGGCGCTGGCCAGCCCGGAATCGCTGGTAGACAGCCCGGAATAGGTGGTGGACAACCCGGAATAGGTGGCGGTCAACCTGGAATCGGTGGTGGATACGGTACACAGCCTGGCGCTGGTGGTCAGCCCGGAATCGGTGGCGGACAACCTGGATATGGCACCCAGCCTGGAGCCGCAGGACAACAAGGCATAGGAGGTGTGCAGCCTGGATATGGCACCCAGCCTGGAGCCGCAGGACAACAAGGCATAAGAGGTGTGCAGCCTGGATATGGAATTCTGCCTGGAACCGCAGGGCAACAAGGAATCGGTGGCGGTCAACCAGGTTATGGAACACAACCTGGCATTGGTGTTCAGCCCGGCTATGGAACACAGCCAGGTGTTGGAGGACAACCAGGAATTAGTGGTGGTCAACCTGGATATGGAGCCCAGCCTGGAGTTGGAGTACAACAAGGAATCGGTGGCGCTCAGCCCGGATACGGAGGTCAACCTGGAATAGGTGGACAGCCCGGAATCGCTGGTGGTCAACCTGGATACGGAACTCTGCCTGGAGCGGGAAGACAACAAGGAATCGGTGGCGGCCAGCCCGGCTATGGAGCACAGCCTGGCGTTGGTGTTCAACCCGGCTATGGAGCACAGCCTGGCGTTGGTGTTCAACCCGGCTATGGAACACAACCTGGTGTGGGAGGACAACCAGGAATTGGTGGTGGTCAACCTGGATATGGAACACAGCCTGGCTCTGGAGTACAACAGGGAATCGGTGGCGCTCAGCCCGGATACGGAGGTCAACCTGGAATTGGTGGACAACCCGGAATCGCTGGTGGTCAACCTGGATACGGAACTCAGCCTGGCTCTGGAGGACAACAGGGAATCGGTGGTGGTAAGCCCGGCTACGGAACACAGCCTGGCGTTGCTGGACAGCCCGGAGGTGGTCAGCTTGGATATGCCCAGCAGGGAATAGGTGGCGGGCAGCCTGGCTATGGAAGCCAAGCTGGATATGGAACTCAGCCTGGATACGGAGCACAAACTGGAGCAGGAGGCCAGCCTGGAGTTGGTGGTCAAACTGGATATGGCATACAGCCTGGGTACCAAACTCAACCTGGATATGGCAGTCAACCTGGAATCGGACAGCAAGGAATTGGAGGTGGTCAGCCTGGGTACGTTATGCAGCCGGGCGGTCAATCTGGTATTGGTGGTGGTACACAGCCAGGAATTATTGGAGGCTATACTAGCCAACCTGGTGTTGCTGGACAGACCGGAATCGGCAGTAGTCAACCAGGATATGGTACTCAGCCTGGATATGGCATTCAGCCTGGTACTGGGGCACAAATCGGAGGGGGCATTGGACAACCAGGAATTGCCGGCGGTCAGTCAGGCTATGGAACTCAGCCTGGAATAGGTGGACAGACCGGTGCTGGAGGTGGTGGTGTGGGTCAACCTGGATATGGAATTCAATCTGGAGTTGGTGGACAGCCAGGAATCGGTGGACAGCTTGGTTACGGCCAGCCCGGAGCGGGCGGACAGCTCGGAATCGGCGGGGCTCAACCTACTGGTGGCCAACCCGGATACGGCACTCAGCCTGGAGTTGGTAGACAATCCGGAATCGGTGGTGGTCAAACTGGATATGGAACACAGCCTGGAGTTGGAATTGGTGGTGGTCAGCCCGGACAGCTTGGTTACGGAACTCAGCCGGGAGCTGGAGGACAGCCCGGTATCAGCGGTGTTCAACCTGGTGGCGGGCAGCCCGGATATGGAACACAGCCTGGAATTGGTGGACAGACCGGATATGGAACTCAGCCCGGAATCGGTGGACAACCAGGAATCGGTGGTGGTCAAACTGGATATGGAACACAGCCTGGAGTTGGAATCGGTGGTGGTCAGCCCGGACAGCTTGGTTACGGAACTCAGCCTGGAGCTGGAGGACAGCCCGGAATTAGCGGTGTTCAACCTGGTGGCGGGCAGCCCGGATATGGAACACAGCCTGGAGCTGGAGGACAGGCCGGATATGGAATTCAGCCCGGAACTGGAGGACAGCCCGGAATTGGCGGTGGTCAGCCTAGTGGAGGTCAGACCGGATACGGAACTCAACCTGGTGTTGGCGTACAGCCCGGATATGGAATTCAGCCCGGAATTGGCGGACAAACAGGAATTGGTGGACAACCAGGAATTGGTGGACAACCAGGAATTGGCGGACAACCAGGAATTGGCGGACAGCCCGGAATTGGTGGTGGTCAACCTGGATATTTAACGCAGCCTGCAGCTGGCGGTCAGACCGGATACGGCACTCAACCTGGAATTGGAGGACAGCCTGGAATTGGAGGACAGCCTGGAATTGGAGGACAGTCTGGAATAGGAGGACAGTCTGGAATTGGAGGACAGCCTGGAATTGGAGGACAGCCTGGAATTGGTGCCCCAGGGCGTTACACAGATGCAGGAACAGCCGTTGCTCCTGGAGGTGCTATTGGTAAATATTCATTGACGTGTAATTAAACAATTCGTTAAATCGTGTGTCCTGCAGGCGTACCTGGAGCAGCTGGCACTGGTGGCGCTGATGATGCCTTCTCGCAGGCAGAGTCTGCTATTGGTGATGGTCAGGCATCAGCCAGCGCTCAGGGCAAGAAGAACGGAGGTACTGCCAAAACTCAAGTGTCTGGCAGCTACACCAAGGGCAGCTCCTTCAGCGCAAGCGCAATGACCTCAGACGCCGATCGTGCTGCAAGTGCGCAGGTGACAGGCAATGCTGATGGAGCAATGAGTCAGTCGCAGGGCTCCGGCGGTCCTTCTCAGTCCCAAGCCCAAGTACAGCTTAATGCCAAGAATGGCGGTACTAAGGCCTCATCACAGAGTGGCGGTATCATTCACCAGAGCCAGAGTGAAGTGCAAGCCAATGACAAGGGAGGCCTAGCTGATGCCCAGTCGAGCGGACCTGGCCAGACATCTTCGCAAGCACAAATTGGTTTCCGACCTGGTCAGGATAATACTCAAGTGAATGCGGCAGGCGGTGGACAAGCATCAGCTCAATCGGGCAGTCACTCGGGTCAAAGTCAGTCCCAGATACACGGAACATCCAGGTAAGCTCGATCGAGCTTATTGTTTTCTTAGTTAAGTATTTTCTGTTTGGTTTTCGTTTTAGCTTTGGCGTCTCCTACCATGGAGCTGCCCAGTCTGCGTCGGGAACGAAGGAACAGGTGGCCACGTATCGCGAACAGAATAGGGAGCTCTTTAATACCATCAGTCAATTTGGCAACACTGGAAACGCGTAAGTATACAATTGTTATTTATGAATAAAGGATGAAATTAAAATTCTTGCTACCAGGGTTACGGACCGTGTTGACGCAGTGTTTAGCGGCCCACCCGCTGTCGCTCCCGAGTCCGATAGATTGCCGGAGATTCAACTAAAGTCTTCAAAGACTAGCAAAGAAGAGGCACAGAAAGAGGAAGTGGACAAAGAGGATGACCCACAGCCCGCATTAGCCGAGGATGAAGAACCAGAGGATGATGAAGAGCCATACGATGAATATGATGATGATGATTATTACAATGAAAAGCCTGTGAAGCTCGAAGAGAATCCCTCAGTTGCCAGCCAAATCAAAAACCAGGAGCCTGGCACAGTGGCTGCGCCTGCCGCTGCACCATTAACCTTTATGCAATCATCGCCCACTCAGAAGCAGCAGGCGGTGGTCGCCAATCCAAACGCCGGCCAATATCGTGTGGTGCAGAATCAAAATGGACGGGTCAATACATATCCGATACGCACCACCACCGAAAGTGTGCCCAGTGGCTTCCGTGGCACAGTCAACGTGGAGAAGAAGTTCCACACGAAAGCCCTGGAGCTGCACAGCACCGATAAAAAGGTGGATGTCAGTCTCGAGGATGATGATGCCAAGGCATCCAAAGGGCCCGCCCAAAAGCCACGCGCACCCGATAGCTATGTGACAGTCACCAAGTCAGTGACTGGTAGCATGGATAATTCAAAGAGCCCGCCACAGGAGAACAAGAACTTCCAGTCCACATACTATACGAAATCGTCGACGTGCGGCTACTTCACCTTCTCCTGTAATATTGTTTATGGCGCGAATGGACGTAGTAAAATCTGTCGTCCCAAGGCACCGTCGAATGGCAAGTGCTAAGGATGCCATCAACAGTTCAATGGGGCTCAAATTCTAATCAGCTACAGCTAACCTCTAACCTGTTTGTATTTGCCGCACTTTGTTAAGCATTTAAGTTTTTGCTAATAATCTTAAAGTTTTACACTCATTTCATACTTCGTACACAAATTCAAATTGTAATTAATATTTAATAATAATGATAATAATAATAATAATAAAAATAAACAGCACACACTGCCGTGAAATGTTCGCTGGAACACCAAAATTAGTCAATTTTATTTGCGTTATTCATTTATTTACTGTTTATTATTTTCTAGTGTATTTTATTATTTGCTTAAAATTCAAATGCTGGCGGCTTTTTATTGTCATTATGTTAATCGAATTTATTTTCATAAATAAATATCGAAACCAAAACGATTTAATCGTAGTTGGAGAAGTACGATATGTTTTTTTTGTCACGGAAATATCGATAGTAAAACACATGTCAAGCATATCGAGCCGGCAATTTGTTTTGTGTTGCCGAGCAACAAAGTATAAAATATTCGTTTAAATTGTTGACTTATTCCAAACAAGTCGAATCCGTTTTCAACGAGACGCACAACGGATTGAATTTCACACAAAAAGTGACTTGAAGAAATAGCAAATCATGGGAGAAGCTGAGAAAATCGAAGTGCGCGACATAACACGCATCGAGCGCATTGGCGCCCATTCGCACATTCGCGGCCTGGGATTGGACGATGTGCTGGAGGCGCGTGCTGTCTCCCAGGGCATGGTGGGCCAGAAGGATGCTCGCCGTGCCGCTGGCGTTGTGGTGCAAATGGTACGAGAGGGGAAAATTGCCGGACGTTGCATTTTGCTAGCCGGCGAGCCGAGTACAGGCAAAACGGCTATTGCCGTAGGCATGGCTCAGGCTCTAGGCACTGAGACGCCGTTTACCAGCATGTCTGGCTCGGAGATTTACTCTTTGGAGATGAGCAAGACGGAGGCGCTGTCACAGGCATTGCGCAAGAGCATTGGAGTGCGCATCAAGGAGGAGACAGAGATCATCGAGGGCGAAGTGGTTGAGATACAAATCGAACGTCCGGCTACCGGTACCGGCCAAAAGGTGGGCAAAGTGACACTGAAAACAACCGAAATGGAAACCAATTACGATTTGGGCAACAAAATCATCGAGTGCTTTATGAAGGAGAAGATTCAGGCCGGCGATGTCATCACCATAGACAAGGCTTCCGGCAAGGTGAACAAGCTGGGACGCAGCTTCACACGTGCACGCGATTACGATGCTACTGGGGCACAGACTCGCTTTGTCCAGTGCCCCGAGGGGGAGTTGCAGAAGCGCAAGGAAGTCGTGCACACTGTCACCCTGCACGAGATCGATGTCATCAACAGTCGCACCCATGGATTTCTGGCCCTGTTTTCCGGTGATACGGGCGAGATCAAGCAGGAGGTGCGCGACCAGATCAATAACAAGGTGCTGGAGTGGCGCGAGGAGGGCAAGGCCGAGATCAATCCGGGCGTCCTCTTCATTGACGAGGTGCATATGCTGGACATTGAGTGTTTCTCGTACTTGAATCGTGCCCTAGAATCTGATATGGCGCCTGTCGTGGTCATGGCCACCAATCGTGGCATAACACGCATTCGCGGCACCAATTACCGCAGTCCACATGGCATACCCATCGATCTGCTGGACCGCATGATTATCATACGCACCGTTCCCTACACCGAGAAGGAGGTCAAGGAGATACTCAAGATACGCTGCGAGGAGGAGGACTGCATCATGCATCCCGATGCCCTGACCATCCTAACACGCATCGCCACCGACACCAGCCTCCGCTATGCCATCCAATTGATAACCACGGCCAATTTGGTTTGTCGCCGTCGCAAGGCCACCGAAGTGAACACCGAGGACGTGAAAAAGGTCTACTCCCTGTTCCTGGACGAGAATCGCTCCAGCAAAATACTGAAGGAGTATCAGGATGATTACATGTTCAGCGAGATCAATGAGCTTGAGGAGGAGACTACCGGCGCTGGCGGAGGCGCCAAGCGTCGTGCGGACGCCGGCGATGGCGACGCTCAGCCCATGGAGCATTAATCCGCTGCCGTTGTCGCTCCCCCGTAACCATTCTCATACATTCTCATCATTCTATCCTTACTTGAGTCCCAATAAATATGTTTACAAAATGCATTGTATCTGTAAAGTGGAATGTTTCTCTTTATTGTGGAGTATTTGGAATTATAGATCTTTGATATCGCAGGCTCCTCCGTCAGATGTATCTACTTAAAACAGAATTCGCATCTCGTTGGGTGACTCAAGCAAGAAGTTTATTAATTTTTCGATAGAACCAATTTTGTTGAACAGAGTGTTACAAACTAGCTACCATATAATTTAAAAGCCTTGATTCTACAATATTTACAAGGTTCGAAATGTTATAAAGAGTTTTCAATTGATAATTGCTTAAATATGATTTTTAAATTTGCACTTTTTGCATAGCTGCTTCTATTCTTATACAGTTTGTGAGCATATGAAAATATATGTATATAAAATTGTCTTTATAGTTGGATAAGTCTCGACGCCGTTCATAGAGCAACTCAACTATGTTTCACTGACTAGACATTGCTTTCTATAATGAACGATTGAGAACAGCTACAACTTTACGCCACGTCCTTTAGTCCTTATCGCATTCAATCGTTTACCACTCACGTACATATATATGCAGATATATATGTGTGTGAGAGTAAACTATGATTATTTGGTAACATCTTCACATCAATTTTAAACGAAAGAAATTCTGCTGAATTGGACATTGCATACGGGTTTGCCGCTCCACTAATCTGTGGCTTGTTTTACAGTTGATGCTTTTGCGGCGGGCTCTCGATTCTGCGGCGGTTTGCTAATAAAATGACGATAGCCATGAAACAGGCAAGCCCAGATGAGCATGTATACGAAGCCGAAATAGTTGACTGCCCTGAAGACCGTGATCCAGCGCTCGTATTTGAGGAAAACAAATGAGGTGAGACACCAGCCCATGTAGACGATGTTATAGGACTTTAGGGACACGAAATAAAGAGCTTTATATATCATTGAATTGTTCAATGTTTCGCCATATCTGGGTAGAACTTCCTTGGTGTAAACGCGATCGATCTGTTAAACACAAAAATAATTATATCATATTTGATATAAATATATAAAAATTACTCACCTGCTTCTCGGTGCTGACAATCATGTACTCCATAAGGAATGCCATATAATAGCCACTATGGTAGCCGTGCCATACGGCTAGGAAACCCAAAGCAGCCGCGTAGCTAATGTTCCGATTGTTGAGGAACTTCAGACGCTTGAATATGTATTGAGCGACCCACTGATTGGTGTTCACATTGAAGCTCTGCACATAGTGTTCCATGGTGTTTCCGGTCTCGAGCAGCATTAGCTTGACATTGGTGCAGCCAGACCAATCCGGATTGCCCTGTGCATCGCGGCCCTTGTACGTGAAGCCAATGCACATGAGAGCGCCCTCGGCGAACAGCCAGCACGAAATGTATTTGTAGAGCGTGAACTTCGCCCAGAAGCCCAAGAAGAAAATGCGCTTGATGAAGTGCTGCTCCGCAAACTCGGGCGTCAGGAAATAGTTATCCGGCAGATAGGCCAAGCCCAGTTGGCAAACGATTAGGTAGAGCACACCCATGCCCAGGCGCTTGAGGCCGGCGTCCACGCAGCCCTCGTATTGGCGAAAATCACCATTCGTGAAGTTTTGGTATCGTCGATAGGGAAACTGCGGTCCGACCAAGAAGCCGCTGGGAAAGTAAGCATATGCCAGTAGCTGGAGGAACGATGGCGGATGCTTCAATGCCGTCTCACTCTGCTCTTTCGATAGGTTAGACACCGGCTTCAATCCGTCGGCCACATCGAAGCCGAAACCAATCATCCGCAACGTCAATATGCAATGTGGCATGGTCCACAGGATATCGTACTCGTTGCTGGCCGTGAAGTAATAGCCCAGCAGCAGGTAGCCCATGTGAAAGACAAAGTTGACGCCCAGCATTACGTGTGGGGCACCTCGCAGCAGATGCACCAGCACGAAGGTGACGCTGATGGCCAAGAGCGAATGATATGTATCCTTGCCATAATTGAAATAGCATAGACTGAGACCACAGAAGGCGAAAAAGAGGTGATGCAACGCCTTGTTCTCTAAATCGACAATCAGCTTACGATAGATCGCTGCAATCGGATAGCCTGAAGGAGTCGAATGGGTTATTACTAGAATTATTCAATTGAAATTACAATTATCTATGTAGCTTTACCAGCTATCAGGGTAACCAGTAAGCGAAAGGCCTCCACGGGCACGCCAGCCATTTCGGCCAGCGTTGCGGATAATTCCATTGCTGTAACTGGTACTGTTGTTGTTGTTGTTGTTCAAGGTGCTGCGGATCGAAAGAGAAGCCTTATCAGTGAATGTGCGCTTAGCAGATCGACGGTAGCCTTATCAGAGAATATGTTGCGGTTCAACGTGCAACGCTTTACGCACACCTAGAGATTACCGTTGTTTTAACTATAAAATGAAACGAGTTGCTAATTTGTTATACTAAATCGGCGTTAAATGTCTAAATTAGCTGCGCCCAGCGATGCGAAGTAAATCAAGGTCAACGCCATCGCGCCAACTCAGCGCCAATGGGTCATGACGAAATTTGGAAATGCAAAGCTGATAAGCAGGCCATATGATGAATATTGCAAGTGTATTGATCCGAGTAGGTAAGCCCAAAATACTTCTACTTTTGAGACGATTCAGAAAGTTAACCTTTAGAGCTTTGTTGTTGTTATTACCTTATAAGTATATTAAGTATTCAAGTACAATTAATTTACGTAATGGCAGGTCTATGCATTAAGTGTGTGTGCTTTTATATAATTTCACAAATCGAATGATTTAATTTTTGGCCGAAATTGATCACTGCACATAATTTGGAAAAGGGTTTAAAAGTTGCTATGGCAAATAGATTAAATAAAACAAACACGGCGTTACGTTATATCTCAACAGCTGATTTTGTCGGTACTACTAGTTCGATTACAACAACTGGTTCACTGACTACATTTGTAGTTCAATTGGAATTGCTCATAATTTCTATTATAGTTTACTGTTTTTATTTAAGAATTTAGCTTTGCAATAAAAACTATACTTTTATACTTTTAGGTGGAGTTGATAATTTAAAGTGTGGAACATTATTTATATGACACCATACGTATGCCACCAAAGTTGGTTGTGTCATACCGGCATAGTTCAATTGAAAGCTGCTCGGATCAAGCTGGTTCTGGAGCTGAACTCAGTACTCCAATAAACATTGCATTAATCAAACTGAAGATTGCAAGAGCCTGTGTTTAGGCAATTCCTCTAACACCTAGAGCACCTAAGCTTGAGAGCCAGCTGAATGGTGCAGAGGTCAAAACAAGCGAACAACCAACGAATAACCACAACGACCGCAGCAGCTGTTTTGCCTCTCAGTAAGCCGTTCGCCCCATTTGGTTTACGTGTCACAAAGTGTTAAAGGCCTTCCTCCCACAGCATTGTAGCTAAATTGATGCAAATCTGGCACACACAGGCAGCAGCAGCAGTGGCAGCATGCGACGCAACAACTATCCTTATCAGCCCCTAAATCAGAATCCTGGACCCAGTGCGCCCGCGAGTCACGATGCCCTCGAGGCGGAAAACGAACGCGCGGCCGAGGAGCTGCAGCAGAAGATCGGCGCACTCAAATCCCTGACCATAGACATTGGCAACGAAGTGCGCTACCAGGATAAACTGTTACGCGGCATCGACGACGACATGGATCGCACTGGCGGTTTTCTGGGCAACACAATGACACGCGTTGTGCGGCTGGCCAAGCAGGGCGGCGGCTCCAAGCAAATGTGTTATATGTTCCTCTTTGTGCTGTTCGTCTTTGTGCTGCTCTGGCTGACGCTCAAGTTCAAGTAGTGTGGCCGTATGTTAATTTTATACAAAAATATATATATTTTTAGATACCCTACAAAGTGTGGTTCACATAGGCGAATGCGGAAATCTGTGCAATCGGCAATTCAAATTGCAATGCCATCGCCGAAGTCAACAGATTGATAAACATATCCATATTTTATACATTGTAGATAGATTGGTTCATTGTTTAATAGACCTCATTTACCAAATTTACAAATGATTCCATTTTCACTGTTTCACTTATCTAATTCTTTAGATACTTAGAAATCTTGTATTAGTATGAGAGTACAAAATGACATTCACACACCACACCATGCTCCAGCGCATACACACACACACACACACACATTAAGGTATTGGTTGGGCGTAAGGCTCAAACTTATGGGGTAGACTGTTGCTCTTAATGCCCAGGCATTAGAATTTATGCTTCGATTGATTCGGTTACGATGCTAGCGTAAACCTGACAAAGTACAGCGTAGCTCTTTTATGGGCTATGCGTGGAAGGTCTTCATCTTTTTACTGCGTCGACTGAAATCGGACTGCTCCAAAATATCCTCCACATCGTTGCTAAGGTCGTCGTCGCCGCTCAAGAAGTCGCTGCCATTGGACCCGTTGCCCTCCAGGCGTCGTACTGAATGTATGGATATTCGTTTAGACTAAATTCTATTTTAGATCTTATTTCAAATAGGCCTTACTTTGTTCATCTAGTATCCTATTCTGTTCCTTTATTTCCTCGATGTCCTTTTTACTCTCAGTGATTTTTCGTCGCAGCGTTTGAATGCATTCGGTGGTCTTTTTGAGTATTTGCGCACGACTCGCCTAAGGTAGCGCGAAAGGATTAGTGTCTGGGACTTAGCTCAATAAATTAAGACAACATATAACTACAATGTTAATTAAGCCAAGTCACAGCTCACTATGTTCCAGCAAGATATCTGTTGCCCCTTATAATTACTCTCTTACTCCCACTTCTACCATCTTTTCATAATTTAACGTAAACATATACATACATATATGTATAAGGGAACTTTTCAAATATAACTCTACGCTTTACTAACTAAGGCTGCTCTAACGACTCCCTCTCTTGTAAGTTAAGATCATCTATCATATTGCTCAACTCGCTCACCTTTTCGCCTTTTAGCGTGGGCACTGCTTCACGCAGGTTGCTGAAACTCTCTTTAATGTGATCTCTTCGACGACGCTCCAACGCATTGTGGTGTGCTCGCTTTTCGGCCTTGAACATAAAGAAAATAAACAACAAATTACTACCGCCTTCATTCATTCAGCAAGAAGAAGAAGCACAACAGAGACACGAGCACCAAGCGTCTGTTTATAAACAATAGCAACGTGGGTCTCGTGTTGTTATTAGTGATCTATTGTATTGCTGCATTGTTTACCGGGGTAAAATTAGCAGTGCTTGTGTGTCGCGAGGATCCAAGACCGTTATCAGAGTCTCCATCGTCCTGCGAGAAGAAAATATTCAAAATTATCTATGACGTCAATTGTGCACGTCATGATGTCTGCTTACGTCACTCTCGATGTCAATATCTCTATCGTCGTCGCTCATACTCATGATTGACGTTGTTCTCTTCTTACAATTCCAAGAAATGCAATTGAACTATATTCGATTTGTGTGGGCGTGTAAGCTGTTTGTTGTTATTGTATCCTGGCGTCTGTTTTGTGTATGCGTGCTATTTATTTTGTTTGCCAGCGCACGTTTTGGATAACAATCAGTGTGGCAGCAAACCAAAAATACCAAAATGAAGAATACCATGACTCACAACATATGGTATTTATAGCTAATTAAATGCGCAATACAACTTATTGGTAACGTGATTTACACCAACAGCGCTAACATGAGCTAATAATAATATAATTTCATTCATAAAATATAAAACTTTATGACAGAAGAGATGAAAATGCCAATTTTATATATTTTTGAATAGCTTGGAACTGTTTCGATCGTTCCGTTTAGTGAATTGTTCTTTGGAACCGATTCGGAACAACACAGTTTTAATGCAGAAAAAACAATAGAAACAAGAGCGCGTGTTGAACCGTTTTAATTATTTAATTTCTTTTTATTTAGTTATTCATACAAAATTTCGCCTATTTTTGATGGCTTTTCCCACATCAAGTGCACAACAAGCAGAAACGAACCGTAAAATACTTGAAGAAATACAAACCAAGAAACAGTTGCTCATCGGACTGGGTAGCACAGCGAATCAGGTAAATGTAAATACATATTCGTATATTTGTCATTAAAGTGACAGGTTAATAGATTTTTGGCTTGCTGCTTTGTAGATGCCCGCACCGCAGCTGCTTGGACAGCCGACAGTGACAGCTGAGTTTGTGCAGAACGTGAGCGCAACGCCTAATGCCGCTGGCGGCATCGCCGCGCCACGATCTGCATTTAATCCAACGAGCTCTACTACTCTGGGCTTCTTTATACCGCAGGATTCGTATTTTGGAAATAGTTTTATACCCGTGCTGCCTCGCCTGGAACCACTGCCGACACCGCCAGCGCCCAACTCCAAGTAATTTCATAGAACAATACACACGCCCACGTCCCCCAACATCAACATGACGCGCCTAAAGCTGAAGAAGCTCGAGGAGTATCTGCAGTGCGTCGATGGCTTTGAGAAGCCAAAGCTACTGCTGGAACAGTACCCGACCCCGCCCCACATCGCTGCCTGCATGACGCATTGCATGCAGGAGCAGCACGACGACATCGAGGGCAAACTGGTTGCTGATCTGGGATCTGGCTGCGGTATGCTAAGCATTGGTGCCACATTGCTGGGCGCGCAGCTCACCATCGGCTTTGAGCTAGACGACGCAGCTGTGGATACCTTTCGGCAAAACGTGGTGGACATGGAGCTGCCAAACGTGGACTGCATCCGTGCCGACGTACTCCACTTGCCTGGCAGCAAGTGGGACAAGGCCTTCGACACGGTTGTCATGAATCCGCCCTTTGGCACCAAGCACAATGCCGGCATGGATATGCGTTTCCTGGATGTGGGCATGCGATTGGCCACTGGCGCAGTCTACTCGCTGCACAAAACCTCCACCCGGTGAGTGAGCAGCTGCCAAAAAATAAATAAAAAATGTAGAGAAAAACAAAATTAATGTGCTTTACCTGAGTAAACGGAGAGAGAAATGTGAATGTTATCAATGCTATCAACTGCAGGCTGTACTGGACAAAATCTAAACCAAATATATTTAGAAGAAGCAAGCAAGCAATAAATTATTGTTAATATCAAGCTAATACGATTACCTAAATTATATATTCTAATAAATAAGAAGAGATTCAACTATTGTTTATGCTAAGCAAAAATAAATTTTTGATTCAATTTCGCATGAAAAATTAACTGTTAATTATGAACTAAGGCTAGGCCACAAATGTATTGCTAATTGCTATATCTTTATTATAGTCCGTAATCTGCTATACATAATTCGACTCTCTTATGCTCTCCCCCTCTCTCTCTCTCTTGCAGCGCTTACATCCAAAAGAAGTCGAAGGAATGGGGCGCTCGTGGCAAAGTCGTTGCCGAGCTGCGCTACAACCTGGAGGCCAGCTACAAATTCCACAAGCAAAAGTCGAAGGATATCGAGGTCGACTTTTGGCGCTTCGACCTCAGCGAGCTGTGACCCAGCTCCCCATTAAACCACTAGCTTAGGAAAAGATGAACCCATTTAAATGCATTTTTTGTTTATAGACATTTTTATAATACAAATCACGATAACAATGTTCGACTAAATTCAATTTCATATATGTAGCTTATTTACTCCACGTTGAAGACGACGCCCTGAGCGCAGGCCAGTTCGCCCGAGTGATTCACCGTGATGGTGGCACGCTTGCAGTACTGCTTCCAGGCATCCGAGCCCGATTCGCGGCCGCCGCCCGTTGCCTTCTCGCCGCCAAAGGCGCCGCCGATTTCGGCGCCATTTGTGGTCGTGTTGATGTTGACGATGCCGCAGTCGGAGCCCTGGGCGCCAATCCATTTGAAGGCCTGGCCAATGTTCTCCGTGAAGATGGCCGAGGAGAGGCCCTGCTCTACCTCGTTGTTCCAGGCCACCGCCTCGTCCACATTGCGCGCCTTCAATACGTAGACAATGGGCGCAAAGGTCTCACGATGCACCACGGGCGCATCATGTGGCAGTCCCGTGATAATGGTGGGCTCCACATAGTGGCCAGCACGCTCCAGGACACGTCCACCGAACGCCACGGTGCCGCCCAGCAGCTTGGCCTCCTCGATGGTCTCCTTGTAGCTGTCGACGTTCTGTTTGCTGTGCACCGGACCCACGAGGGTCTGCAGCTCCAGCTGGTGGCCAATGCGTGGCAGCAGCTGCGCGTACTTGGCCGTCAGCGCCTCCACAAAGCTGTCGTGGAGCTTCTCGTGCACAATGATGCGTCGGGTGGTGGTGCAGCGTTGTCCGCTGGTGCCAATGCAGCCGAAGAGCGCCGCATCCAGGGCCATCTTAATGTTGGCCGACTCGTCAATGATCAGGGCATTGTTGCCGCCCAGCTCGAGAATGACCTTGCCAAAGCGGCGCTGCACCTCCACGCCGACATCCCGACCCGTCTGGCAGCTGCCCGTGAAGCTGACCAGATTCACGCGCTGGTCGGCGACCAGGGCGGCGCCCACATCGGTGCCACCCTGGCAGAGGCTGACCACGGCCGGCAGATGGTTGCGCTGCAGCACCTCGGCCACAATCCGGGTGGTGGCCACGGAGACGAGCGGAGTGCTGGGCGCGCCCTTCCAGAGCACACCGTTGCCAGTGACCAGAGCGATGGCCGCGTTCCAGCCGAAGACGGCATTGGGGAAGTTGTAGGCGGATATGACGCCGACCAGGCCAAGCGGGCGCCACGCCTCCAGGATGGTGTGCTGGGCACGCTCCGAATTGATGAGCTGGCCGGAGTAGATGCGCGACAGGCCGACAGCATAGTCGCAGATGTCAATGAACTCCTGCACCTCGCCCTGGCCCTCGCTGTAGATCTTGCCCACCTCGAGGGAGACGAGTTTGCCCAGTGGCTCCTTGTACTTGCGCAGCTCGTCGCCGATCTGACGCACGATTTCACCACGCACCGGGGCGGGCACCTGACGCCACTGCCTGTAGGCCTCAACGGTCAAGCCAATGGTCTGATGCAGCTCCTGCACGGTGCCCTGGCGCACTGAGGCAATGGGCTGACCGGTGCCGGGATCATAGCTGGTGATGCTCTGTCCGCGGCCCTGCCAGTGGCCAGAGTAGACGCCGGGATTGTCGCGTTCCAGTCCGAGATCCTTGAGGAAACTGTACTCTGGCTGGTCGATCAGATAGGAGGCACTGCGCACCTGCTGCTGCAGCTGGCCACGCTGCACCGCTAGGCGGCCCGTCAAATGTCTCAGATTTGCGATCATGCTATGCTGTGCCAAGAAGAAGACAAAAAAACACACAAAGAAGAAACGCAGTGAGATTTATGGATTGCTGATACGCCTGATACGAGCACGGTATCGCAGCGATAAGCGCTAAATTGTCGCTGGTTGCTGGCACTGAAAATATTCCGACAGCGCGCCCCCAGCAATGAGCTCGGCCACTGATTAGCACTGCATCCCGGGCTTTTGAGTTCACTTACTTTTGTTGTCCACTTAGGTCCGCTGCTAGTCGATGTGCTCCCTGCACCGCTCAATTATCAACTGAACCGTTGAGCGATCGAGCGGCCGAGCGGCCGAGCGGCGGCTTATCTTGCATTGAATGGGCATTGTATATATATATACATACATATATATATGTATGTATATGTATGGACATTTGGAGAGCGAATGTTTAACATTATCTTTACGGCTCTGCCTCCCTCTCTCTCTTTCTTACTCTTTCTCTCTCTCTCTCTCTTTCTCTCTCTTACCTGATAGCTTGAAAACAGTTACACATTTGTTTTAAAACAGATCTTATTTACCAGATAAGATTAAGAAACAGCTTATTATAGAAGTATTATTGACTTAATACACTTGCTGCTAAAATTGATTTTTTATTTTAATTTAATATAGTAAACATTAAATTTTAAGTATCACCCAAGTTTACTATATATTATTAAATATAAATACAAATGGAGTTTATTTTAAATATTTGTTTTACAAATAAATACGTAGAAATATATATAAACCAATCGTTATTTTTTTATTAAATTAAGTCTTGGCTCTATTGTTTTTTTAATTAGCATAAATATGAATATTAAACAAAATATGTGTTTATTAAATATTAGTTATATTAATTAGTATATGCAGCCCAAAAAAATGATGTGCTTCTAAAACTCCAGAAAAATATGCCAAATTTAAAAAAATAAAAACTAAATAAATATGTAATTAATATAATAAATATTGTATAATAAATAAATATATACTTTTCATTATCAAAGTATAAAAATTTAATTTTTAAATAAAATTTATTTAAAATACAAATATTTTATTTTATTATAAAATCGGGTATACGCTTCGCTTATCAAATTTCAAATATCTGGAAAAATAACTGCAAAGTGCTCTTATCGGTATTCACGCTACATCATCCATCAGGCCTTGGAGTCGTTGTCCTGGCAACAATTCGACACAAGTTCACAGTGTGCTGTTTGCTCGATATCCTCGATTGGCTCTGGCTAATCAGTTTTGCAGTTTGGCAGCGAAAAGAATTCGTCGGAATGGAGGTGCTCGAGGAGGGAAATTTAATGGACCGCGTGCCCATTTTGCTGCAGCGCGATTTGGAGTTCTATCAGGTGCCCGCACAGACTGACCGCAATGCGAGAGAGAAGTGCTTTTGGGAAAACTCGTTAACACATTGTTTCTGACAATGCCCATTCTTGATTTGTTTCACGAATAGACGCATCAGCGCGTGCTGCAGGAGCCCATCTGCCCGGGCGTGGTGGGCGGAAAGCTAGACTTTCCGCGCTATGCATCGTTTGCATCCATTAAACTGATACGCTGGTAGGTCGAGTTGCCCTGCAAACTTTCCCCTGGCGCTGCTCCATTTTGACTGGGTCAACTTTTCGTTTAGGTGGGAGGACGAATACTTTGCTTCCTATCGCAAACATTCGGGTCTGCTGCATACCGAAAAGGAGCTGAACGAATGCGACTTCGTAAGTTTATGATATCTAATAATCCGATCATTTATGTAGACTTCGTGTGTTAATGATAATCAATTATGTATATGTGTATATGTCTATTATTTCTTCTAAATATTTCCTTTAAATATTTAATCTAAGTATTTCCTTTAGTGTTTTCTCCAAATATTTCCTTCAAGAGTTTCTTCTATTTCTAAGTATTCCGTCTATGTATTTGCTCAGACTATACCTTCTAGGTATTTCCTTCAAGAATTTCTTCTATTTCTAAGTATTTCCTCTTAGTTATTTCCACTTAGTTATTTCCCTTAAGTAATTCCTCTTCAGATTAGCTGAATACAGTTTACTATACTGCACGACGCCACGGCTTTCATCAGGCCTAGGCGACTGAAGAAATGCTGCAGCTGCTGCCCTTTATATAGTCGCTCTCAAATGTTGTAATCGACGCCAGGTAGAGGCTATTGGAGTCGAGCTTTAAGTAACCAATGCGAACACTCTTTGCTGCTGCAAGCATTATAGCTTCGATTTACTCGAGTATAAATACCAAATGAATATTGTTGACCACATCTAGAGAACTTTAATGATCTTCTGTAGTTTTTCGTCATCCCATTCTGTTCGCAGACAGAGAGAGAGAGAAAGACAAATAGAGATGGAGACAGACAGAGAGACAGATATACAGACAGACATACGAACATGTATATGTATAAGAAAACAAACACGTATAGTTAAAACGGATTATCTCATTACGCTGTTCAAGAATATATTTATATATACATTCATGATAAGCCTAAGCCTTAATACGCTAAATAAGTTCTGTAACAGAGATTAGCTGGAACAATATAGAAAATATACTGAAGCACAGCCTATATCTGCATATCTAATCTATTGACCTCCACAGAGCAGCGTCACGGTCAAAACTTCTGATCCGGATAAGTTTGTGAGTTTGGTCACCAAGTCAGCGGATCTGCTGTTGGAGCACATACATCGGCTCTCGCAGGAGTCGCTGGACCATGCCGATCTCTCAGTGCTGACGGCCACGATTGGCGCGGCTGCGCTGGTGAAGAACTCGCTGAGCGTCTACATGCAGGCAGCCACGACTACGATATGTCCGCCCAAGGGCGATGAGAAGGGCGGTGCGCTGAAGCTGAGCTTCAAGCAATACGCCCAGATGTCCGAGGCGTTGGCTGAGCGTTTGCTGGACCTGCACTGTCGCCTGCTGCTGTTGTATATCATTCAGGATGCGGACTGCCTGCACTGGGAGGACACGCAGCCGTTCTTCGAGTCGGAGCGCGGCTCGTATACGGTGCAAATGTGGTGGCACTACATGCGCGGCACCAAGGCCGATCTCTGGAACTCGGTGCCGCCGAAGATGGCGCAAAAGATCTTCGCCGGGATGCTGAACGAGACACTGAGTGTGCTGACGGTGCGGTACACGCAGATCGTGACCAGCGTGGCCCGTGCGCAGCTGCATCTGGTGGACATCTGCAACATGCTGCTCTGCATCGCCGAGCTGTTGCCCCACGTCTGTGAGAGCGGCGAGGCCTATGTGGGCCTCCAGCTGAGCAATCAGAGCGTCATCGTCAGGGATATTCATGCCAAGTGCCGGGAGCTCTTCTACTGTCTATTGTTGCGTGGAGCGCCCCTTGGTGTGCTATCCAAGGTGAGTGGATATAGTTGAATGATAGACCGTTGGAACTTGAGAGTTATCTATGGGAATTCCCTTATCTTACGATACGATACGATTTATTAAAGGCCTAGAATATCTGGGTTTAGGATTCATTGGTATCTCCTAATTCTGTAGGAGTCTTTTACCATCTCCCACCTCCCTTCTATTTTTACCAATATCTAATACTCTTCATTCCATTCGGCAGGTCTTTCGCAAAGGCCTGGATAACATGGAAATGTTTAGCTCCCGTCATGGTCTGCCATCGGCTTGGATTATCTTTGCGCTGCCCCGCTACTTTCCCAAGGAGCAGTCGTGTCAGTGGGTCACCGAATTCGCCGATCTGACCACCAACACGGCCATCTCCTTGGACTTGCGGGTGCTGCTGGCGTTTCCCGAGGCGCACTGGTCGTATCTGCTGAAGATTCTGCTGATGCGCGATGCCCACCTGACGGGCATTATAATGCGCCATCTCATGCAACATTTGCCGTCTTCGGAGAACTTTAAGAATGTGGCCAAGCACTCGTTCACCAGCGCCGAGGGAGCTCCACTGAAATGCGAAGCGTTTCTGTGTCGTGGCGAGTGCTTCAATGTCACCGACTCCATAGCTGCGGACATAGGCGAGCTCCAGTGGGAATAAATAATATATGTAATAATGATTGTAGATTATGTTCGCAGATCCCGTTGGCCAGTCCAACTACCAGATTGTGCTGTCCCTCACATACCTGATTGTGGCCGTGGGCAAGGCCGTCGACATCAAGTCCTGCCTGATAAGGACCCTAGAGGAGCACGCCGTGAGCGGCTGGAGCGATTGCCTGGACAAGCGCCAGGTGTGGAATCAGAAGCGCACGCCCTGGCTGGAGGCCATCATGCACTTTGTGTATCCAGTGCTCGACTGCGTCGTCGAGATGCTGATCAATGCCGTCGAGAACGGCGCCAGCATGTACCAAGCCATGTCCCTGGCACTCACTTGCATCTCAGAGATCTGGGATTGCATGCCCGAGGGCTTGTATAAGATCACAGCCCTGCTGCAGGACATAATACCAGTGTCGACGCGCCCATTGGGGGACTCGGTGCTGCTGCAGGTGGTCTTTGCAGCGCTCTACACGGAGCTGATCAAGACGGCCGAGGCGCAGGAGCAGGGTGAGCTGCGAATGAAGCTATAGAAGGTCATAGAAGGGAAATACATATATCTCTCTGTTTACAGCCAAGAATGAGGACAAGGCTGCCATTTGTTACTCCCTGTCGGAGGCCATTTGCTCCGTGGACGAGGACGACAAGCACACGGACCAGATCGAGCTGTTTCTCAAGCAGGCCAAGGAGAGCATCAATCTGGACACGGACTTCGGCAGCAGCTGCGGGCGTGGCGCCGGCGGCATGAGCGCCGTCAGCACCGTCAAAATGGATGACCTGGCCATGACCAACGCCGAGTCGGAGCGCTTGAGCCACAGTCCGCCGGCCAATTACGCCATGGAACTGGATGTGGGCATTGCGGACTACATAGCCGAGGTGCTGGCCAGCGATGTGCTGACCACAAACATCGGCAAGCAGGCGCTGAAGGTGATCTACAATTATCTGAAGTTCAACAAGGACTGGCTGCTCGAGCAGCTGGGCACGGGCGACAACGAGCCAAGTCCGTTCCAGGGCGTGCTGGGCCAGAACATCAAGGAGGCCAAGACCTCGGTGCTCAAGTCCATGTTCTTCATTGGCAACACGCCCTTCGATCAGCTGCTAACGGGCTCCCTGAAGATCGACTACGTCGGCTGGCTGCAGATGCCGCTGTCCCTCAATCCGGAGCGGGCGTGGCTGCATCTGACGCGTCGCTGTGATTTCCAGGAGGACAGCAAGCTGGCGCTGCCGGAGGTGGCCATGGTGGCTGGCATAACCAAGATAATGAAACGTCGTAAAGACTTTGCCAAGTGAGGCGGACTACGTCGGGCTGTCTGGCTGTCTGGCTGGCCCC